TAGAAGTTGTCTAGTTTGGCTAGATGCCCGAGCAAAGGGGCAGAGTGGGGTGAGTGGCATCTAGAGATAAGGCTGAATAATTTGGCAAGAACTAAATGGATTTAAGTGTTTTTACTCCATGCAAAGGTATCTGGAGCTTTTCCTGAGAGTAAAATGTAAACCAATGACAAAGTTCTCACTGGAGATTTAAATGTCCTACCTTAGTGACAGCTATATGAACTATAGCTATTTCTGTAAGTATTGGGTTGGCCAAACAGTTCAATTTTTAAGTAAAAATAAAAGATATATTTTTCATTTTCACCAATAATTTTAAAATTGAACAACGTATTCACCATTTTGTTCCACTACCTTCTGCCATCTTTCAGACAACTTCATAATTCCATCTTCCCAAAGCTTTTTATCTTTTTGAGCAAAAAACTGTTCCAGGTGCCTTTTGCAGTCTTCCAGGGAATTGAAAATTTTCCCTTTAAGAGAATTTTGTAAAGACAAAATAAATGGAAATCTGAAGGTGCAATGTCTGGTGAATACGGCAGATGAATCAGAACTTCCCAGCCAAGCTGTAACAGTTTTTGCCTGTTCATCAAAGAAACATGTGGTCTTGTGTTATCCTGATGGAAGATTATGCATTTTCTGTTGACTAGTTCCAGATACTTTTCATCGAGTGCTGCTTCCAGCTGGTCTAACTGGGAGCAGCACTTGTTAGAATTAATCGTTTGGTTTTTTGGAAGGAGCTCATAACAGAGGACTTCCTTCCATTCCCACCATATACACAACAGCACCTTGTTTGGATGAAAACTGGTCTTTGGTGAGGTTGGTGGTAGTCAATTTCTCTTGCCCCATGATCTCTTCAGTTCCACATTATTGTCAAGTATCCACTCTTCATTGCCTGTCACAATTTGTTTTAAAAATGGAACATTTTCCTTTCATTTAAGTAGAGAATCACATGTGGAAATAGGGTCAAAAATGTTTCTCTTGCTTAGCTTACTGTGGAACCCGAACATTTAAGCGATTAACACAACCAAGCTGGTGCAAATGATTTTCAACATGTGATTTGGATATTTTGAGTATGTTGGCTATCTCCCATGTGGTATAATGTTGATTGTTCTCAATTAATGTCTCAATTTGACTGCTATCAACTTCAACTGGTTTATCTGACCACGGAGCATTGTCCAGAGAGAAATCTCCAGCATACAACTTCACAAACCACTTTTGACACGTTCAATCACTCACAGCACCTTCTCTATACACTGTGCAAATCTTTTTTTGCATTTCATTTGCGTTTTTACCTTTCTTGAAATAATAAAGAATATGCTGAATATGCTGCTTTTTCTTTTCCATCTTCAGTGTTAAAATGGCTACACAAAAATTCACGAATTTAGGTGAGTTTTTTTAAATGCACACTGATATGACAACTGTCATAATACAATCTAACAAAATTTTTTCAAATGAAGTTAAAGACAACTAAGTGCTACAAGAGCTATCTTACAGAAAAAACAGAACAGACTTTTTTGACCAACCCAATATTACTAGGTGAGTTAGGTTATTTGGCCTTACGTCACTAACAAAAATATGAGAAATGGATGAAGCCCAGTTTTCTGACAAGAGTTTCAGTGTGCAGGCTGACAGATCCACCAGCAGGGCAGAGGGAAGGGAGCGCATAGCCAGAAAGGAAAAGAGATACATGGAATTTTGAAACTTTTAAAAAGCTATAGAGTATGAGGAATAAATGCAAATAAGTATATTCTTCCTTATGAATGTTTATGCTTTCGCATTTTCACTTACCATGTATAAGAAAATATTTAATGCAGTATCTGCTACTCAAACATGTAAATGGATGCCATTTACTATTTATAGTTTATTTCAGAAATCAATGAAATCTAAATTTAATTAATAAATTAGGGCAACATACCTTATTTTAGTTCTTTTCTAAAGTAAGTCCTTTTTAGTAGTTTTCTCAAATTCCTGCCATATCTGAAATAAGGCAAATATTATCTATAGTATTAAAGTTAAATAAGAGACAATATTATAGAAGTGATATATAGCTTATGAAATATGTCCTTTAAATAATAATTTTAGGGACTAGACATAACTTGAGGATTGCATAAATAAAAAATAATCACATAAATAAAATAAATTCCCACTTATTTCTAGATAATAAAAGAAGATGGATATCTAAATGTTATTTAGGTTAATCTGATAAAATTATAAATTAACATTGGTCTATTAAATAAACATGATTTCAGAAAAGTGATGTTTGATCCCTTTGGTTCAGAGAAATTTAAAAAAATCAAATCATATATTACACAGAATGCATTGCTTTTCAATTCTTAGAAAACTGCCCTCTTTAAAAGTTTAATCAGAGAGGCTTCTTCTGGTCAAGATGTCAACACAGATAAATGCAGTACTCATCCTCCCATACCCACATCAAAATTACCACTGAACTTCAGAACGATCATCATTCAGAACCACCTGAAATCTAGCTGGATGGAAGTGCTACAACTAGGGACTTGAAAAAGAGGCCGCATCAAGACTGGTAGGAGGGATATAGATGCAGAATGGGCTGGTCCCACACTTACATGTGGTGGATAAATATTGACAGGGTTGTCTTGGCTGCAGATATCCTGACAAGTGAGGGGGTTCCTAGCCCCACACCAGGTCCCCCAGACCAGGGTTCCAGTGCCAGTAAGAAAAGTCCCCATAACTTCTGGCTGTACAAACCAATAGGGATTGAGGCTGAGTGAGACAGAGGGCTTCTGTAGTCCCAGGTATTCCTCTTAAAGGGCCCACACACAGACTTACTGGGACTCACTCCCTCTGAGCTCTAGAACTGGGGCAGCAGTTTCAAAGAAACCAGGGACATATGGGAGGAACTGAATTGTATGGCATCAGGGTGAGAGTTGGGGGGCCAGTTTTCTGCCAAACAAAAGCTATAGCAGAGGCCACTTTTCCTTTTCTGAGACCCCTAGGTGGATACCATAGCTGAGTCTCTATCAACCAGGCTCTCACCATTTACCCCACCCAGTAGATTCCCTAAGACTGTGCCCTACCCAATCAGCAGGCCACCCAAGCTGTTTCTAGTGCATTTTTCATACAAAAGGTTTGTCTTGGCTGATGCTTCAGACTTTCCTAAAGTATCTTAAACAAGCAGCATCTGGCCTCAGCATGCCCCATATCTCTCACCAAGTGGCCCCGACCTAGCACTAGCAGCAGCCAGCCTTGGTCTGCAACTTGTCCTCATCTGGGCGCCCCCAATCCCAGCACAAGTAGTAGCCATCTGAACATCAATTTCTAGCTCAGGGAGGGTGGCCCTGGCAGAACACAAGCGACAGCTGACCTTGGCCTGAACTTGGTCTGGAAGCCCCAGAACCAGTGCATCCAGTGGACAGTTCCAGACCATGTCGAAGCACCACTCAACCATTCCACAAATGACACATTCAAGGGGTGGGCTCAGCATGCACCAAAGCCCCACTGAAGTAAGTCCTGCTCCATGAGGTGGGCCCGTGCACATTGATCCTCCGCGGTGGTCAGTGGGTGCAGCCAGTCCTTGGAGCTGATTGGCCTGGGAATAAATACTTCCCATTGACCAGCCAACAGCAATCAAGTCTCAACTACAACAGGAGGGGGTACACAATGTACATGAGGAGGGGTACACCTGGAGTGCCAAGCTTGTGTAATCACGGCGGGGGCCGGGGGGAAGCTGTGCCACTGGGCACCCACTATATTCGCCACTCCGTCAAGCCTGGGATACATAGCAGCTCTACCCAATACAGAGAAACAAACACTGGGAGGCTGCCAAAATGAGAACAAAGAAATATGGCCCAAATGAAAGAACAGATCAAAACTGCAGAAAAGGAACTAAACAAAATGGAGACAAGCAATCTGCTAGATGCAGAGGTCAAAACACTGATTATAAGAAGCTCAGGGAACTTAGGGAGAACTTCAACAACATTAAAAAAAATCATGGTGATTTTTCTGGTAAGAACTAACAAGAACATTTCAAATCTGCATCCTGCTTCACAATTTGCAGAAGTATTTGGCATTCATTTTCTTTTTGTACTCGGTAGTCCAGTTTCACAACTTGGAAGCACTTAGACTTTATTTGGTCAAGAGAATGTCTAAAAATCCTTAGTTTTGTTCTCCTTTCACATGTTATGATGATGTCAAATGCAAAAACAAGGCTGAAGCCTCATTAGCACAGATGTTCATTATTTTTCTCTGCATTAAGAAGACCATAAAAACACCATCAAAACGATAAATCAATGTGCATCGATTGAAATGGATATTTTTAGGGTGACATCAGCATCAGGGAGAAGTGAGACAAGCCCTTTGTGTCTCCCTTTGAATCTGCAACTAGTCGGACATCCAGAGCCCAACAAAGCTTCCTCTGCTCAACACACGGAAAGGTTCAGAGGTCAGTAGCTCGGAAGGGGGGCGTTCCGGAATGTGCAGGGAGGCAGGTTGTGGGGAAGGGTGGGGACGGCCCGCCGCTGCAGTTCTCCCAGGACAAGGCTGAACCTATAGCTCCAGCCACACAGTAGCGGTGGAGGAGTCGGGGTGCAGCCCCAGCAGCACTGCCTCCCCCCAAAATCCAAGCCCTTCCCCTGGTGCAGCAGAGCTCCCACCGCCACAGATCAGGAGCTGCAGCCGCTGGGCCACAGCGCAGTGCTGCCTGTGACCACAGGGAACGAGGCAGCACCTCAGCGGGCTGACCGACTCGCTCCCCTCGACTGGCCACATCCTTCTGCCAGGGTGGTGGTGCCCCGGGACCCAGACAACCGGATACAACACTGCCACCCACCACTCGGGTCACCCGGCCGCCACTCCTACATCCAAGGCAAAGCATCCCACACCTGGCCTCTCCCCCTGCCCTCCGGCTTAAGCAGCAGCAATAGGAAAAAACAAAAACTGCGCCATCGCACCTTCTGCTGGAAAACAAAAGAGCTCTAATTATCAACCTGATGAATTGCGAAAAGCAAAACATTCCTAAATAAGAAAAGTGTTCATTCCCTTTTATACTATTCTAGTTCACAGAATCCTACCGTATTCGTTACCATGTGACTTTTGAGGTTTACTATTTCTTGTTTCAAATCCTTTTTCTTATCCTTTAGTTTTTCATATTTTTTTTGCATGGCTTTCATAGATAATAACTCCTGTTGAAGAAATTTATTTTTTTCATCCAGATTTAGGCATTTTGAAGATACTGTTTCCAGTTTTGCTTTAAGAGCATCATTCTGCATGAATAAAATAATATAGTTTCATTATGAAGGTACAGACTGAGAATAGTCTAAGTCAATACAAGTATCAAATTTTGAAATAAATTCAGTTGCAATAAAATGTTATTGGTACTGCAGTAGAGACTTAAAATGTGAAATTTTGAATTACTCAGAATCAACAACAAAGTTAAAGTTTGTTCTTTTTGTGACTCCTGGTCACAAAAATATATTAACTACCATCGTCTTTGCCACACAACATCTGCACTTGCTTTTATACTCTTCTTTCTATGTACTGTTTCATGTCTTCCACCACAAAAAGACTGTAAAGTCACCTCTTAGTAGAAAGTCTCTTACCTCTTCTCCAATAATAATTCTCTAAAATTTTAAAAGAAGTTTTAAGGATGTTATATTGAGTTATTTAGGCCTGAGTCAATAAATACCTCCCAAAATAAAAATTTCAAAATAAGACTCTAATTAATAAATCTTATAAATATGGATTCTAATGCCATAAAACTTTTATAGAGCTACAAATATTTGATGTTCATTTGAAATGCATTCCAAGAAGAAATCCATAGAAGAATTTCCAGGTATAAGAGAAATCCCATCTTCCACTGTAAAAGTTTAGTGAGTTGAGAATACACTAAACTTTTGTTTTTTAGAACAACAACAAAGTCTTAATTCAGTAGTGCTATCTTGTAATTCTTTGTTACTTCCCATAACATAAGAGAACATACTAAACAACAATAACATAAACTCGCTGGAAATTCAGTCATACTGACTTAGGAAAAACTGCTTTCCTTTAGATATAATGTTTATTTGGTAAGACAAGGTGAGTGATGTGGAGTTTTTAAAACATGTCTACAAGTTCTTTGGCACACTTCCCATGAAATGGGTGCTGGCCTTAGTCAGTAACCGGTTCCTGGTGAACAGAATACAGTGGAACTGCGGTGTGACCATACAAAAAGCCACTGAACTGCACGCTTCCAATGAGTGAACTGTAGGGTAGGTTCATTACATCTCAACATAGCTGTTAACAAAAAAAAATTTTTTTTGATTTGGTGCTACTGCTTGGGCGCCTGTAATGATACCTTTCTTGCTGGGGTTCAAGACATAGGAGAGTTAACAGTAATCCCTTTTTATAGTAAAATGATTTTTTAAAAAAACCTCTTTTACTGACATCAAGTCTATAAAATTAATAGAAAAATCTCTATTTATTGTTCAAAGCATTAAATGATATATATTTCCCCAAATTAGGTAATTTTGGGGTCCCAAAACTGATTAAAGACTACCTTATATTTTAATACATTAATCTGAGTGTCCATTTCAGTTTGAATCCGTTTTAAATCTCCAGGGCAACTAAACTCTCCATTTTCATATTCATTTAGCTTCTTTTTTGTATTTTTTAGCAATTTCTGAAATCTGCAGAAATATACAAAATGAGTAAGTCAATTCTTTAAAAGTAAATATTTAATAATTATTTTAACAGATATTATGTCCTGTCATATAAAATAATCAAATCTATAAATCATAATCTTATTTGTTCCAATCTAGTATTGTTTGAAAGCATACTATCTAAATTATAATCTTATGTAAAAAAAATGAAAAAATTTTATTATATGTATGATATGGTGTTAATATTGTAACTATATAGAGTTCTTATTAATGTTATTAATATTCATTTTAGTACGTAATATAAAACATTAACCTATTATTAAATATCAACTAGAAATCAGATATCAGTACCCAAGGTGAAGAAGAAAAGCATAACTACAAGCAAATGTTTTGAAAAGACACAAAAATACTTTTTTGTACTGATGAAAGTCTATATAAGAAGAAAAGCACCACCACCAACAACAAAGAAAACATGAAGGAGATCATTTAAAATAGAAAGAGAAGCAGGAAAGAAAAATCTTTGACATTTTAGTTGAAGGGAAATGTGGAAAGGGGCAGAGTTTTAGAAGAAAAGAATCCAGATATAACGTGTAACAGTCTCAAGACTGTTTTAGGAGAAATTTGCTAGGACAGTGTTAACAAAATGAAAGGGATACTAAACAGTGTAGAGGAGGACAGTTAAATGAGAGGAAAAACACTGATGAGAAACTGGACAAACTGAAATACTCAGGGAAAGGAAGCCTGTGGGGGCTTCCCAGACATTAGGAAAGATGCCATTACTTTTTTATATGAGTGGTAAAAACAGGATTACCCAACTTCTTTAAGTCATATGCACATTTTCATATGTCATATATTTTATAACCAAAAAGAAGTTATAAGCCAAATCAAGATAACTTTTGAGGCTATTAAATGATGACAAAGATAGGTTTCTAGATATTAAACTTTTTGAATGCTGAAGAAAAGCACACCACTAAAAGAAGGAAAGAGTACCAAAGAGAGTAAAGATATCTGGCAGAAATAAAAAGTCAAGGTAGACATGAAAAGCACAGCTTACAGGATATGCAAAAGGTGTTCTCATTGTTTTAGGAATCATTAAAGAATAAGCAGAATCTTTTGGCATTCAAATAATTTTCAGGTTGTGCTGTGAGATTATGAAGCAAATTTTTAAATAGGATAATTTGTTTAATTATGAAAATTACAGATAGAGAATAAATTTGTATTTTGGTTTTAACAAAGTAAAATGATAGTTAAATCTTAATTAATGATAGAAATGATCTGAAATATTAAAATCTTACCCAGGCGTCTCTTTTTCTGATTCACCATTTTTCTCTTTTTCTTCATCCAAGCTATATTCCAGAGAGCCTTTTAACTCAATATATTTCTTTAACTGTTCCTTTTCATCCTGAGACTTTGAAAAACATTTTTAAAGAAAATTATTTTTAAAAATCTAGAGACTCTTCTTTCCTAAAATATTATTTCTTATGAGTTCATGAATAATATATGTAGTCAGGTTTAATAAATGTAGTTTATAAACCTGATGCCAATAAAAACATTTCAAAAATAATGACTTCTTACTTGAGCTTAAGTTGACTTTACATTTTCGTCACTTTTTCTCTAGAACTTAAATTGCCAAAATTTGTTAAAATGGAGGTTTTTGCATATAAAATACAAATTGTTAAAAAAAATTTGAGAGTGGCTACATTGACATTTTAGTTTCTAAAGATGCTCTAGAAATATTTTCATCAATATTTTAAGATATGCCAGATTCTGTTAAATCATATCTTACTGAAATAATCTTTGAAGAATTCCCATGCAGTCCCCATTACCTTATGATGATAATCTAACTTTAGGATCAGGTAAAGACTCTCATTTTCTGTAAGCATTGTTCCATAGGTTTCAGTTTCGCTTTATTTAAAGAGAAAAATAAGCTTGTCTCTCTATATTTTATAAAAACATAGTTTTTACTTGGTTCTTGCATCTTTTTCTATCTCTTCCATTGAACTCAAATATTCTTTAATGCAAGGTCTCATCCACATACTCATATTTTCAACACTTACTCTCTTACATAAAACCTGACTTTGAATCGTATAATTGCACTAAAAAATTTCTGAGAGTCATCTTTTTCTTTACTCCTTATCCCGCTTTATTTCTTAGCAGCAACAGAGACCACACATGCCCTCCTTTTGCTCCTCTATCCCTGATTCACTGCCAAACAGTAACTCTGATGTTCAAGTCCTGGACTCTTTCTATTCCTTTTTTTAAAATCTCTCAGGGTTCCTTAAAACTCAGCACTTCAAACCAGACTCTCTAATCAACATTTCCAGCCTTGACCCCTTTCCTGAGGTCATCTGTACTTTTCTTTCTCCCTTCTAGTTCCTCATAGACAGTATCCTCAACCACACACTCATAAACCATGATGTGGTAGAGATTACCTTTGCATATAGCTAACCTTATACATTTTATGTTGATTCTCATGGGTGTTACTTTGAGTGTAGTGTTATTTTCCAATCTTAAGGGCACCTTCACCCTTAGGATGTTGACCAGAATATTTTGTGTTGTTTTTCTCTTATAAAGCAAAACACTTCCCAAGCATCAGACTATTAATTATTTGCCTTTATTTAAAAAATAATAACAATTTCTTATTCCATGGAGGCCTGACCTATGGAACCCTTCTGAAAGTCTCTTCATATGCATATTCAACTATATTGTTTGAAAGCTTAACAAAGCCAGAGCTATTTTCCTCTTGCCAATTCAGATTCTTCACCTCACCATTGTACTGATCAAATATTTTAGCCCAGGTAGTTTCTGGCCTGAGGATTCATGACATAAGAACCTTCGAGAGAAGTTTAGGCTATTGATTAAATAGGTTGAAAGCTGTCTCTTATTAAATTTTTGCTTCACAGAGTAGACCTTATGGTGGCTAATAATTCTACGTTATAAACCTAACTCATTTCTATAGGAATCTTAAAAAAAATCTCCCATTATTTTTGCATAAGCTTCATCAGTTTGGGGTATTCTTACAAATTTTTCAATTTTTGATACCTTAATAGATTTCTGTACAAAACTGTAAGGTGACAACTCCTGGCACTCTCATCCACAGAAGACTCCTTACCAACATATTATCATTTCACTTGTATGAAAACTATACTAATACAATATGACTTACATAAAGTCTAAAAAAATAATTTTCAGTGTTTCTTCAGCCACAAGAAGAACCAGTCAACACAATATTCTAGTTCCCCTGATAGCTGTATCTGTATAATGCAGCTGCCATGGACTGAGCTATTGTGACTGAAAGAAACTTGCTGATAGGTCCATCAACCTCACTGCTCCAACTTAGGGTTCACAATGCAATCTTCTGATCTTAAATTATAGGTAGCCTCTCCTGCAGAGGAGAGTATGAATGGCAGAAGATTCCTGTGCTGCTTGGTAAATAGCTGTGTAGTTTTCACCATTCATCAGTGAATTTTGAGTCCTGAATTATACACCCATCTTTTCTGAGACAAATTTGTTAACCTTTAAAAGGCTGATTAAAACAAGTAAATAGTCTCTAAACTTGCAATGCTAGGAGCACTATGTCGCCATGTGAGGCCCTGAATAAGCAGCCATTTCTACTTTTTCACTGGCACCTCTTTTCTTTTTCAAAATCCAGCAAAAGGAAAAAATACACTCCTTTCACAAAACACTTGCATGATGTCCTATTACTCATTCTTGATGAAGAGAATATATTACAGCATTAAAAGTAATTCATTCTCAAAATCTAACTGAAGAGTTTAGATTACAAGAGAAATTCAGAGTCCTAGATTAAATCAGTGCTCAAATTTCTGGGCTCAAATATTTGTATTCCAATGTCTATAGCAGCATTATCAAGAATAGCCAAAAGCTGGAAAAACATAAATGTTAAACAAATGAATGTATAAACAAAATGTGGTATATGTCAAATGTTGCTTCTAGACTATCACAACTTTTTTCATTATAATCTTACTACAAAAATCATTTATGAATTCAACTTCCTTTATAAAGAAGAATTACATTACTAGTAGCAAGTAATATCATATGAATACAATAAATACTTTTATCAGTGAGACTTTTCATATTGCCCAAAATATCTTATACACTACTACTAGAAAAATAAAAATTCCTTTTTAGTATGATGAAAATTAAGAGATTGACTTACCAAATTTGTACCTAACAGGTTTTTCTGAAACTGTTCAATTTTTTGTCCTTGCATTTGGACTGTAACTTTTAACTTGGTATTTTCAATTTCAAGCCTAAAATGTACACATTTTAAAATGATTATTATCACATATCAATTTAAAAGATACAAGATAAATTCTGAATAAACATCTAAAGGTACAATTACATAAAATCTTAAAATTTGAAAAGTAGATGAATTGGGTATTGCACCATTTTTCAAGTTGTGTTTTGTGAATGATGTGCAAAATTTAAAGGTAATATACACAAATTATGCATTTCAAAGTATTTCAAAGCTTAAATATTTATCCAGCTTAACAATGATGTATTCGTTATCATAACTGATCTAATTCTCATGCTACACTCTTCATATGCTTTATAAATACTCATGTTATTTTCTGTGCTGCTTTATACTTTTGCATTTTATCTTGTGTCTCCTCAGCATATTTTACGATCGCTGCATATTGATCCTGTGCTTCTTGCAGCTAAAATAAAGAAAAAAATACTTTTAATTACTGATAATCTAGTACAAATCTACCTGTTTTTGTAACTTAAATTTTATCAGACAGCAACCCCACTCTTTCACCTGCACTTTGTTTATGGCTACTTCGTGCCAAAACAGCAGAGCCAAGTTGTGATGACAGAGGCCTCATCGCCCACAGAGCCTAAAATATCTACTACCTGGTCCTTTACAGAAAAGATCACCAACCACTTCTCTAGTACCCAAACAAAAACACTATTCATGTTTTTAAATGATCTTTTATCAGATAAATATACAAATTTATAAATGATCAAAAGGGGAAAATACAAAATTACCTTATGATAAACATTCTTTTTTAAAATTCATTTTTTTTTTGTATTCTAAGCACCACACCAACTATAAATTTAAATATTCACAAGTATGAATGAGAATGGTTATTCTAGCGATTATGAAAGTTAACGTGCTGCTTTCGGTGACAACAAGATGTTTCACTGAATAGCCCAAAAGGCAGTATCTACATAGGAGCCAGAACGCCTGGGTTTGAATCCCACATCCCCCAGTTACTAGCTGTGTCACCTTGAGCAAATTACTTAAACTTTCTGTGTCTGTTTCTTCATCTGTAAAATTAAGATAATAATGTTACCTACCTCACTGGGATTTTGGGAAGATTAAATTAGGGAATATATGTAAAGTACTTAGAAGAGTACATGGTCCATAATAAACTTTAAGGGTTTGCATTATTATTATCGCTGTATTTTAAGTTCTAATAAAATTTTATACTTCAGGCAGATGGCAATGTAGGTGATCTCTTGTACAAGTTACACTGAAATCATTCTTCATACCATTGACAATGGTAGCAAATGGGAAGCATGAGGCCCAGGCTATATCCCCAGTACTTCAGAAAGCTTTCACCAAGACCGCTAGCCAATAACACTTTTCTGCTTATAATAACAAATTATAACTTATTTCCTCTCTGTACGACTCAGCAGGCACTAATCATGAGCAATGCAAATAGCACCTCTGGGACTGAGTACATCACTTACATGACCTGACAGGCAAGGTAAAGCCACTGACATGGAGATCATGGGCTCTGTGCAAAATCAAAGTTCCCAGGTCCATTCGTCCCCAGCCACTGTCTATTTTGGGCTGCTTTAGCAAGTACTCTGATGAGCAGATTAAGGTGACGTGCAATGGCATGTCAGAAAAGTCCTCCCCAGAGATTTACAGTGGGTAAAGTGCTATTAATCTCTAAACCACAGTTCTGGTTGCATAGTGAAGGATAGTTGATTTCTTTTTTTCTTACACTGAGGGTAAAAAAAAATGAGCTTCTGATTGAACTCAATATATTTATATTTAGTTGCTTAAAAAACATTGAGAATAAAAGCTTAATTATATCAATGTCTCCAAGAAGAAAGTGTTGTTATGGCCCAAAGTAATTTTATCCTAACAATAGTTAAGCTAAACTATTTTCAATTTACTCATACACAAAGATAAGTGTACGAGTCATATCAATATCATATCAATACTGTACCATCATATTAATACTGTACCCCATAGACAAATTTATACTTAGAAAGTCAAGATTATCTCTCATAAAAAAAAATTAAAGCAATGTCAAATTAAGGGCTAAATAATTCTGCACAAAAAAGATGACAAGTGCTGAAAAGAATGAGGGCAATGAGAGTTAGAACAGTCAGAGAAAGCGTCATGGAGAAGGGAGATCGGGAGCCAGGTCCATAGAGGTGTCGGGTTAGGCAAGAGGAACAGAAACGGAAAAGGCAGAATGGACAGCATGAGTAAAGGCCGAGAGAAGCTGCAATCAGCCCAATTAAATCCAATGGCAGGGAGATAATAAAAACATATGTTCACACAATGACTTGTACACTAATGCTCATAGTAAAATTATTAACAGCCAGGGAGTGAAAACAACACAAAGTTCCATCAACTGATGAATGAATAGTTGCTTTAGCCACACAGTGAATATGGTTGAACCTTGAAAATGTGACATTAAGTAAAAGAAGCCAGTCACAAATACTGTATATTGTGTGATTACATGTATATGCAACATCCAGAATAGGCAAATCGATAGAGACAAAAAGTGCACTGGTTGTTGCCTGGTGGCGGGGAAGATGAGAAGCTGGGAGTGACCGTTAAGAGATGTGGAGCTTGCTTTTAGAGTGAGGAAAATGTTCCACAATTGACTGAGGTGACAGATGCATAACTCTAATATGTCAAAATATATTGAATGTAAAGTTAAAATGGGCAAATTATACAATATGTGAATTATATCAATACAACTTTTTTTTTAAAAAGCCAGTGATAGATCTAAATTTAATATTCTTAATTCTCTGTTGTGGATGTGCATACTATAATGATATGAATATTCCCATGCTTTTACAATGTTTCTAAGTGAGAGAAAAGGAAGGAAATGCCTACTTCAGCTGGTTTGTACAATGTTTCCATACAAGTTACTATGAAATCTATGAAATGAATACAGATCTATATCCATTCACAAAAGTGAAGATGATAAATAAAACAATTTTCTGTAACATTCCATTAAACATTATCCTCAGATTTTATCTGTCTGCCTTATCATGATAATGGAGATGTCACTAAAAATATTGTTTAGTAGAAAAAAAATTCTCTTGATTTCTATGAAGGATAGGGCATAATTCTCAACTTTCCTAAGAGTAAATATTATAAGAGAAAACGTAAGTACAAATGGCAGAATAAGAGCCAGGGTTTAAGAAATAAGTGCATTATAAAGGTAATAAAATTATAATCAATTAATTACAGTAAAAATAGAAAGAAAGCTGCCCATGAAAATTACTATCCTAAAAACATTTCATATTATTTAATCAGCTATAGATTAACTGATGACATATTAAATTTCATACATACTTGATTTTGGATTTGACCTAATTTCCTCTTTATTTCCTGTGTCTCATCTTCTACATTCATATGAGAATGTGATGTAAACTGCAGTGAAGATTCTGACATAGACTGTTTTTTTAGGGAATTAGCCACTTCTTGTAGAAGGTTTCTCAGAGCAACCTAGTAAGATATTTCTGTTACTGATTTTATAAATCACACTATTATTAAATGTTAGTAATATATAACTTCACATACAGAGCGGAGCGTAAGGTTTACAGTTATGAATATGCAAAGTAAAATTTATTCTTGTATTATTCATTAATTATTGTATTATTTTCCATACGAACAACTGTAAACCTACTTTTGCCCCATCCTGTATATACTTTGTTAGAGTCATATGATTAACATAATATATTAACTGGAAAAATATCACCACATACATCAATTCACCTTCTTTTCTCCATATGGACACATTCCTGTTTACTAGGTAATCTGGCCTTGACCTTCCTCCCCACTACACGTAAGTCCTGCCACCCCTCACTAGTCTGAATTGGAGAGCCAATGCCAAATTAATAAATCACAGAGAACTACAATTCTCTCTGTATTAAAGAAACATCTCCAAATGATAGTAATTGGGTCTTGAAATGAGAAATATGAGCAAATGAATTGCAAAAATATTTCAAGAAAACTGTAAATAGTAGTGGAAAGATTAAATCAAGTATAATTTTTCTACAACTCATCACATTTGTGTCAAATTATGATTTAACAAAAAGTAGATGCCTTCAAAGAGTTGAAAGGTCATAAGATGACATTACTCAAGACTGAAATATTTCCAAGTTTAATTCAAATTGACATGAATAAAAATAACATTATACCAAAAAAAAAAAAAGTATAAGAAGCCACTGAAGGAAAAGTACTATGAGAGAGTGTCTACACTGCACTTCATCTGGGAAATCTGAAATTAACTGTCAAGATAATCCACTTAACTGAAACTTAATTTCAAAATACTCGTTTTAGGTATGAGCATTTCCATCTATCTGTTTCATAATGGTGTTAAAATGTGGTGACAGAATAAAATTAATATTTTATCAGTATGACTAAATTATTATCATTCTATATCTATTAACAATCTATAATTTAACCTCTTAAAATTTCATAGGCAACACAATGTCTTTACTCAAAACAAAACATCTCTCAGTTCTAACTTTCATTTGCAGGATACAATGTTTGTTTTCAAGCTGAGAGAGCAAACACAGTTATAATCTATGTATTTTTAATGTTCAACTAGATTCAACATTTAGCCATCATCAAATATTACTTTGAATTTTCTTCTAGGAAACTTGAAAAATATTTACCTTTTTTGATACTTACATCTCTTTCTGCTTTATCATTTTCACACTGATGCATTCTTTCTCTTAAATTATTACACTCCTTGATTAATTCCTTATTTCTTTCATTCAGCAAATGAGCTTGACTTTCACTTTTGACATGAAACATTTCTATGATATCCTGTAAATGATCTTTCATATCAATGGCTGCCTTTTCTTTATTGTCAGCTTTGTTGTTAGCATCATCCAGCTGCTGTCGAAGTAACACAATTTCACTTTGTAGTTGTGACAGCCTCTCCTCTAAGGAGCCCTGCTTTTCAATGTATTTATTCACTTTACTTTGTTCCTTTTGATACATGTGTTCAGCTTGCTTCTTTTGACACTGTGTCAGGCTTAGGTCTCTTTGTACATCTTCTAAAACCAGTATCTTTTCTCTGAGAGCATCTCTGGCCTCATGAAGCTCAATTTCTAGGCTATTGAATTTACTTTCAGCTTTAGAAAGTTGTTGAGAAAGAATCTCATTTCTATTTTTCAGGTCAGATATATCACAATTCATTTTGTCCTGTAAATGAAGCCATTCATTTTTTGCTCTCTGGAAATCAAGTAGCAGGTCTCTTTTCATTGTCTCACTTTGTTCAAGATCGTGACCAGCTGTAGCCAGTCTAAACCTGTATGATTCAACTTCTGTTTCCAGTCTTTCTTTGTTTTGTTTTTCAGTATCCAGTTTAGACTTCAGTAGTCTATTCTCAGCTGTCAGAACGTTAAGCTGCCCACTGTATTCGGATATTGTTCTTGTAAATGTTGCCTCATTCAGTTCTATTGTCTTTTGAAGAAAGTCATTACTTTCTTTGATAATTGCAATGTCCTCAAGATATTTTTTTTCCATTTCCTGGTTCTGATTTTTTACTGTGTCTATTTCCAGTGTTAGTTTGGCAACTTTAGCTGCCAACATGTGGTTTTCACGCAACCATTTTTTTCCTTTTTTGGAACTACCAGAAACCTAAGAAAAACAAAGGAGATGTGTAACCAACACTCATTGAAATGATGTATCATGATATCTGAAATTAAAGAATAACCTATATATCCATATAATGAGAAGGTTGCAATAAATGGATATCCCCCTGGAAAAAACAGAGTTGGATCCAAATCTCCAAATTTGTACAAGTATAAATTCTTCAAATTTCAAAAATCTAATATAAAGTGATGAATCCATGAAATTAAAGAAGAATTTTAAGAGAAATTTTAAGAGTCTCTGAATTAAAAAGGCCTTTCTCTGAATTACCACAAACCCAGAAGGCATAAAATAAAACATTAATAAATCTGACTATACTTAAAAATTGAATGTATAGTCTGAACACACAGTTACCTCACGGTAAAAGTATTAACTCTTCTTTTTTCCCAAGAATATTGCATAGATATTATACTTTTATAGTAGTTTTATAGTTATACATACTACATCTACTAATAACTGATAATCTAGGCATTGTTGTAAGCACTTCTGTATATATCAATGAAGAGGTTAAAAAGACATGCAAGTTCAGGATTTTCCCCAGGTCTTCTGACTACACAGTTAGTGCTTTTGCATCAATTCATAGCTACTTCTCTAGTGTGAACAATAAACAAAAAAGAAGCCTTATATTTTAAAAACAAATGGTAAGATAAAATTTATAAAACTCCTCTTAGAAAAATCATGAGATTATTTATTGCTACAATGACTTTCATTTCCTCTTTGTGACGTTTAAGGTAGTAATAAATGTGAAATGGAAGAAAATACACTGAACTATTTTACTAGAGATAAAACACTTATCAAAAAATTATCGCTAAGTATATATTATGGCATATTATTTCCTTCAAAAGCTTTTTGTACTAAAATGGGATGCTACTTGGAGAAAACTGTTATATTTCTCAAAAATAGGAAAAGGGCATCTAAAATATGGCCTCTGAACTGGCTATAGTTTTCCTCCTTATCATCAGTGGGAGTGAAAACTAACCTTTCTTAATATATCAAAGGGATGAAATCACTTCTAAAAACTGGAATATCTATTGTTAGTAGCAATATTTTTGAGATCATGGAAAGCTCATCAATCCTACGGAAAATATTAAAAGCCTTTCTTTGCATGAGGCTATAGTGAATGTCATTACTTCACTGTTGGAGACAAATAGATTTGAATTAAGAATATCATTTTACCCAGTAGGCCAGAAATGCCACCCCATCTAAAAATTGAGTTAACAGTCTGAATATACAGAACTCTACAGTAAGAGTTTTCACTCTGCATATATTTCACTGGATTAAGTTTCCTATAATTCTTTTTTCCTGAGAACATTCCATAAATATTCAACTTTTTAATACTTTCACAGTCAGTTATATTAGTTACATGTACTAATAACTGATCATCTAAGCATTGTACTAAGAACATCTACATACATCAACTCATTGAGTTCTCACAATCTGGAATGAGAGGTTAAAAACATAAGCAAATTCAGGATTGTGTGTTTGTGCATATTTACATGTTTGTGCAGATATGGTTTTGGAAGCCTATATATTTCCCATATGTACAGTACTGGTTTTTAAGATACACACACAGAAAAATACAAACACAAGAGCATTTGAAAATGACTAAGCGAAATACCTCAGAATTTATTTTCTCATGAGCTATTTGTATTTCATTTTGTTTGCAAAGGTGACTGGTCGAAATTCCACCTTGTGATATGCTGGCATTCTGTTCCTGAGAAAGTTGCTTCTGAGTGTCACTTTGCTCTTCTACAACCTAGAGACACATTTCATTATGTTTTTGGTCTCATGACATTAAAAAAAGAAGTCATAAGCTTAAGAGCAGAACCTTAAAAAAAACAAACTGTTAAAAGGAAGTAGCCATTTTAATCATAAGAATCTTACCTTCCATGAAAAACTCAAATATTAATTTAAATAGTAGCTAAGTTTATCAAAGAGCAAAAATACAATACTGAGAAATAAAAACTTTAAAAAAGACATTAGACTACTTCCATTATGGTTTCAAGGCAATTTAGCTTGTATGTTTATGTTTCAAAAAAACAAAGTTAATATTTATGTTAATCAATAAGCTAAATTTACCTTCCATTTCTTCATTTAAAAAACATAAATATATTTCCATTCAAGATGGTGGTGTAGGTGAACATGGTTTGCCTCCTCACACAACCACACCAAAATTACAACTTAACTACAGAAAAAGCACTATTCAGAATCACCAGAAATAGAGCTGAATGGAAGTCCTACAACTACTGAATTAAAGAAGAAACCACATGGCGACTGATAGGAGGGGCAAAGATTCATAATGGGCTGGTCCCAGACCCATGTGTGGCAGATAAAAATAGGGAGGGATATCTTGGGAAGAGGGGTCCCAGCCCCACACCAGGCCCTCCAAGCCCAGGGTTCCAGCGCCAGGAAAATAAGTCCCCATAGCTTCTTGCTATAAAAACCAGAGGGGACTGAGGCTGTGGAAGACAAACTGCTAGAGTCCCAGGAAGTTCCTGTAAAAGGTCTCAGACACAGACTTGCTGAACTTACTCCCTCTAAGCTCCAGCACAGGAGCAGCAGACTGAAAGTCACCAGAGGAATAGGGGAAAGAATTGGAGTGTCTAGAATCAGGGCCAGAGCAGGGGGCAGATTTCTCCCAGACAAAAGTGCTGGTAGAGGCCATTGTTCCTTTTCTGGGCCTTCCCCAACAGAGCAGGTGGGTGGGCACCATATATAACTTCGTCAACACGGCTCATACCGTTTGCCCAGCCCTGGTGATTATCCAAACCTCTGTCTCACCTAACTTTTGGGCTCACCCAAGCTGTTTCCAGTGGTTTTTCCATACAAATAGCTTGTCTTGGGCTCATGCTTCAGATTTTCCTAAATTCTCACAAACAAGTGGCATTTGGTCTCAGCATGCCCTGTGCCTCTAGCTAAGTGGTGCTGGGCCCAGCACTAGCAACAGCTGGCCTTGGTTCACAGCTTGGAATCACTTGGGCACCTCTAAACCTAGCATAAGTAGCAAAGAATTGCAGATCACTCTGTAGCTTATGCCATATGGCTCTGGTCAGAACACAGGCTTTTGGTTGCTAACCTTGGCCTGCACCTCCTAGAAGCCCTAGAGGCAATGCATCCAGTGGACAGCTAGAAAGCACATCAGAGCACCACCACCCAACTACCTCCACAAGTGACACACTCAAGGGGTGAACTAAGAAGGCATGAGAGCACAGCAGAAATTAAGTGCTCCTCCGTGGAATTGGTCCCTATGCATCTGATTGATGACAGTGGTCGGAGGTTGGTGTTCAGTGATCACAACCAGACCATGAGGCTGTTGGGCCTGGGTAAATCCCTCCCATTGACCTGCCAACAGCAATCAAGGCTCAACTACAAGAAGAGGGTGCACACAGTCCACACAGTGGGCACACTTCAAGTACCCAGCTTGGGTGATGGACCCTATAGGACACTTACTACATTAAGCCACTCTTCTAAGCCAGGAAGCCTTAGCAGCTCTACCTAATACATACAGACAAACACAGTGAGGATGCCAAAATGAGAAGACAAAGACACATGGCCCAAATGAAGAAACAGAACTCCAGAGGAAGAACTAAACAAAAAGGACAGCAGAGTCTGCTAGATACAGAGTTCAAAACATTGGTTCTAAGAATGCCCAGTGAACTTAGTGAGAACTTCAACAGAATAAAAAAGAACATAAAAAAAAATTAAAAAAAAAAACCCCAGACAGAAAGGAAGGCTACACTAACTGAAATGAAGAATAATTTACAGGATATGAATAGTACAGTGGATGAAGCTGAGAACCAAATCAGTGATTTGGAATATAAGGAAGAAAAAAGAAACACCTGATTAGAAAAACAAGAAGAAAAAAGAATCCAAAAACATGAGGACAGTATAAGGAGCCTCTGGGACAACTTCAAGCATACCAACATTTATATCATGGAGGTGTCAGAAGGAGAAGAGAGAGAGGAATAATTTGGAAACGTATTTGAAAAAATAATGACACAAAACTTCCCTAACTTGGTGAAACAAAATAGACATACAAGTCCAGGAAGTACAGAGTGTCTCAAACATGATGAATCCAAAAAGGCCCACACCAAGACACATAATTAAAATGGCAAAAGTTATAGACAAAGAGGGAATCTTAAAAGCAGCAAGAGAAAAGTAATTAGTTACCTAACTCCTGTAAGACTGTCAGCTGATTTCTCAAATTGCAGGCTAGAAGGGACTGGCAAGAAATATTCAAAGTGATGAAATCAAAGAGCTACAACAAAGATTATTCTACCCAGCAAAGCTATCATTTAGAGTTGAATGGCAGATAAAGCTCTTCCCAGACAAGAATAATCTAAAGGAGTTCATCACCATCAAACAAGTATTATATGAAATATTAAAGGGTCTTATTTAAGAAGAAAATAAAAAATGTAAACAATAAAATGGTATTAAATACTTATCTATCAATAATCAAATCTAAAAAAACAAAATAAAAGAATAAGCAGAACAAAAACAAAATCATAGATACAGAGGACATTTTGATAGTTGCCGTATGGGAGGGCATTGGGGGATGGGTGAAAAAGTGAAGGGATTAAGAAGTACAAATTGGTTGTTACAGAATAGTCATAGGGATGTAAAGTACAGCATAGGGAATATAGTAGCCAAAGAATATATATGCATGACCCATGGACACAGACAACAGCATGGGGATTATCTGAGGGAGTGGGGGACTCTGGGTGGAGGGGGACAAAGGGAGAAAAATTGGGACAACTGTAATGGCATAAACAATAAAATATAATTTAAAATAAAAAAACAAACATAGCATTTACTAGGTGCCAAGAATTGCAATAAATTAATCATTTTAATTATATAGATCACAGTTCATATTTTGAATCAGTATTTTTAGATTATTTAAAACTCAATAATATACATTAAATCAAAGGGGCATTATCAATATTGATGAAACACTGTAAAAAATTAAATATTTCTGGAATTCCAAGATGGCTGCAGAGTCAGCAGAAGCTGCACCTACCTGCTTCTGGCCCCAACTTGGATTTACAGCTAAATTACAGAGCAATCAACCTGAACAACTAACTGAAAGCTAGCTGACCTGAAATATAACCAAGGATTACAGAAGAAGCCACATAGAGACTGCTAAGAAGGGCAGAGACGTGGGATGGGATAGCTCTTGCACTCAGGAGCAGAGGCAGCTGAAGGGATATTGTGCTGCACAGCTCCCTCCCTCTGGGAGCATGGGGTGTAAACCCCGCCCAGGAATCCCCAACCCAGAGAAATAGAGATGAAAAGAGGAGCCCATGTTGCATCTGGCAGTGAAAATCAGTGGGGACTCAGTCTGCCTGGGAGACTCAGAGAGGAGCCTCCCAGAGAAGAGCACTCCTACTGTTACAGCACTAGTCTGGGGTGTTCACAGTCTGGACTTTGACTGCTGGTGAGGCTACGCTGCTGCACTTGGGGCCTGTGGAGGGGTCTGCTGGCAGCAACTTTAAGGGGCTCTCTTTATTCTGGGGAGGTTTTTGGTGAATACCCAGACAGTGACTAAACTGTATGGCTTGGGAAAGCGTTCTGGTCTCCCTCACCTTCAGTACACAGTCAGAGCCCCAATGCCCACCTGCTGAGTCACTCAGCCTGCGCTGTCCTAATTTAGGCAGCATGAGAAGCCACGCAGAGCTGGGACTTTTGTCACTGTTCTGCTGGGTTTGGGTGCACAGGGAGGCATGTGGTGCGAGGACATTTGCCCCAGTCCTGCTGAGAATTGTCGTGTGGAGTTATTGAAGTGCCACCTAAGGCCACATCCTGCTTGTCTTGGCAGCATGGGGAACCAGAATGCTGTGCAGAGCTGAGATTTTTGGACTGTGTCTCCCTGGGAGGCTTCTATCCAGGAGATGAATCAGAAAATGCTGAGCTATTTTGCTACATTGCACTGGGGCAAAACCTAGCTCTTCTGCAAGTTCAGCTTACACTATCCAAGGAAAGAGGAGTGCCCACTCCCCTCCTAGAGGCTTGTGGCCACCACCCCCAACAGGAGACTGTTTGGATCACCCCCGCAAGTCCAGGATATCCCATAGGGGGAAAGGGAGAGATGTTCATAGTGGGGACAAAGTATGAGACTCTCTGAGGCTATTGTCTGTGACCAGGATGAAGTACTTTGCCTGCTCCCTTCCCCAGCAGCAGTCTCTTTTACACCCCTGAGCCCAGCATTGCTGAGCTTCCTCCTGCAAAGGGGATGACTGGAGGCACCCAACCTGAATCTGCAGTGAGCCTCCATTCAGGGAACTGGCATTGGAGACTGGCAGAGACTGAGGGGTTTGGCTTTGAAGCAAGGGCCATTTTCCTCTCATTGAGTGCCTGACTACATGACCTCCACTTAGGGCACCAATAAGCCTTGTTGTCTCGACCCCAGTTGCCCTGCCTTACTGAGCTTTCAACCTGCGGAAGGGGCTGTGCATTGTAGCTAGCCTGAGCTGATTCTAGTCTTTCTTTGGAAAGCTCTGGAGGAAAACCAGGCAACCTCAGGGGGAGGCAGAGTAGCTGACAGGTGGAAGCAAATCTCAGGGAACCTCAATCATTTTACAGAATTTCCCTCAGCTCTAAGCTGGAAGAAACTGACCACTTTACACAGAGTATGCGTGAGTACCCTCCCACATGTACTCAGATCCAGTAGATAAAAGCATAAATAGTGAACAGTGTGTTAGCTACAGACAGGTAGCCCCAAACCAGTTACATACAACATCTGACATGTACTTTAACCCC